CTATAGCTTTGTAGTATATTTTGAAATCAGGGAGTGTGATACCTCCAGCTTTGTTCTTTTTTCTCAGGATTCCTTTAGCTATTCGGGGTCTTTTGTTGTTCCATATAAATTTTAGGATTCTTTGTTCTATTTCTGTGAAAAATGTTGTTGGATGTATTCTTTTTTGTTGTTGTTGTTTTGTATTTTTCTGGTTTTGGTATCAGGGTAATTCTAGCTTCATAAAATTAATTGGGAAGTGTTCCACCTTCTATCTTCTGGAAGAGATTGTATAGAATTGGTGTTAAATCTTATTTAAACGTGTTAGAATTCTTCAATAAAATCCTCGGAGCTTGGAGATTTCTTTTTTTAGTTTTAAAAGTACAAATACAATTTCTTTAACAGTTGTGGGATCTATTCAAATTAAAGATCTTCCTTGACTTATGATGGGGTTATGTCCCTATAAACCTATCAGAAGTTAAAAATATTGTAAGTCAAAAATGCGTTTAATACACCTAACCTACCTAACATAGTTGTTTATCCTAGCCTACCTTAAACATGCTTAGAACATTTACATTAGCCTACAGTTGGGCAAAATCATCTAATACAAAGCCTATTTTATAATAAAGTGTTGAATAGCTCTTGTAATTTATTGAATACTGTACTCAAAGTGAAAAAAAAATGGTCATATGGGTCCTGTACTCCAACGAGTATCAGTTGGTTATCCCCATGATTGCATGGCTCACTGGGAGCTGCGGCTCACTGCCGCTGCCCAGCATCATGAGACAGTATCATACAGATTACCGGTAGCCTGGGAAAAGATCAAAATTCAAAACTTACAGTACAGTTTCTACTGAATGTGTATCACCTTTGAACCATCAAGTAGAAAAATCATAAGTCAAACCATTGTAAGTTGAGGATCGTCTGTATCATTTTTATATTGAGTGAGTTGTGGTAATTTGTGCTTTTTGAGACTTTGGTCCGTTTCATCAAAGTTGTCAAATTTGTGTGTGTGTGGTATTATTTGTGGCATTTCCTTTTTATCCTTTTGATGTCTGCAAGGTCTGTAATGATAGCCCCTGCTACATTCCTCACATTGGTAATTTATGTCTTCTCTCATTTTTAATTTATCAATCTTGCTAGAGGTTTGTTAATTTTATTGATCTTTTCAAAGAACCAGCTCCTTGTTTCATTGATTTTTCTCTACTGTTTTACTGTTTTTGATTTCATTTATTCCTGCTCTTATTTTTATTGTTTTCTTCCTTCTGCTTGCTTTGGGTTTACTTTGCTTTTCTTTTTCTAGGTTCTTGAGGTGACATCTTAGATTACTGATTTGAGAATTTTCTTCTTTTCTAAGGTAAGCATTTGTGCTATAAGTTTCCCTTTCAGTTCTGCTTTAGCTGTGTCCCTCAAATTTTGATACATTGTATTTTCACTTTCATTAGTTCAATGTTTAATTTTTTAATTTCCCTTGAGACTTTCTCTTTGATCGAGGATTATTTAGAAGTGTTTGTTTAGTTCCAAGTGTTTGGAGATTCTTCTATTATTCTTGTTACTGATCTCTAGTTTGATTTCACTGTTGTTGGAGAACATACTCTGTATGATTTCAATTTGCTGACATTTGTTTTATGGCCCAGGATATGATCTATCTTGGTATATGTTCCACTTGAAATGAATTTATATTCTGCTGTTGTTGGGTGGAGTGCTGTGTGAATGTTGATTAGAGCATGTTGGTTGATGATTTGTTGAGTTTTTCATTTCCTTGCTGGTTTTCTGTCTAGTTTTTCTATCACTTATTAAGGGGGAGGAGTGTTGAAGTCTCCAACTATAATTGTTTGTTTATTTCTCCTTTCACTTCTATAAGTTTTTGCTTCACTTGTTTTATAGTCTGTTGTTTGGTGCCTACACATTTAGGATTCCTATGTCTTGGTGGATTGATTCTTTTATCATTATATAATGTCCCTCTCTGTCTCTGATAATTTTCTTTGCTCTGAAGTACTTTATCTGAGATTAAAATAGTCACTCTTGCTTTCTTTTGATTAATATCTCCATGACATATCTTTTTTTATACTTTTACTTTCAGTTTGCCTATTCATTATATTTGAAGTGAGTTTCTTGTAGACAGCATATAGTTCAGTCATGTGTTTTAAATAGCCCTGTCAATCTCTAAATTTTAATTGTTGACTTTAGACCATTTACATTTAATGTAATTATTGATATGTTAGGGCTTAAGTCTGCCATTTTATTCTTTATTTTCTATTTGTTCTCTGTGTTATTTTTTTCTCTGTTTTCCTTTTCCTGCTTTCTTGAAGGTTACTTGAATATCTTTTAAAATTCAATTTTAATTTATTTATAATGTTTTTGAGTGTATCTCTTTTAGTAGCTTTAAGTTGTTGCTCTAGGTATTACCTTATACATACACCACTTACCACAGAATACTGTTGTTTTTTTTGGTGTGTGAAGTATAGAAAACTTACCTCCCTTTATGTCCCTTTACTCTCTTCTGTTTATAATATATAATTTTAAAAAATATTTTCTCTGTGTACATTTAGATCCATATCTAACACTCTTATAATTTTTGCTTCAACTATCAAACATAATTTGGAAAACTCAGGAGGAAAAAGAACACCTATTCTTTTTACCTATATTTTTGCTTACCATGTTCTTTTTTCCTTACTGGTGTTCCAAGGTTTCTTCTTTGATCTTTTTCTCTCTTTTTAGAGAACTTCCTTTAGACTTTCTTTTACAGTGAGTCGTCTGGTGACAAAGTCTCTTAATTTTCCTTCATTTGAAAATGTCTTGATTTCCCCTTCATTCCTGAAGGATATTTTCACTGGGTATAGGATTCTGGGTTGAAAATACTTTTCTTTCAGCACTTGAAAAATATTGCACTACTTTCTTCTGGCCTCAAAGATCACTGATGGGAAATCTGTTGTCGTTATTGTTTTCCCCAATTTGAATTGTCATTTTTCTCTGGCTGCTATCAAGATTTTTAGTTTGTCTTAGTTTTCAGAAGTTTAATTGTGATGTGTCTTGTGTGGGTTTCTTTGGGTTTTTCCTGTTTGGAGTTTGCTCAGCTTCTTGAATCTGAGGGTTTATGTCTCTTGCCAAATTTGGGCTCAGCCATTATTTCTTCGAGTATTTTTTCAGCCCTGGCCCCTTTCTTCTCTCCTTCTGGGATTCTGATGACATGAATATTCAATCTTTTGTTATAGTCCTGCATGTATCTGAGGCTCTGTTTATTTTATTTTATTTTTTCAGTTTATTTCCTTTCTGTTGTTCAGATGGGTAATTCCTATTCTTCTACCCTCCAGTTCACTGTTTCTTTGCTCTGTTCCCATTCTTTTGTGTGTGTGTGTGTGTGTGTGTGTGTGAGGAAGATCAGTCCTGAGCTAACATCCATGCTAATCCTCCTCTTTTTGCTGAGGAAGACTAGCTCTGAGCTAACATCTATTGCCGATCCTCCTCCTTTTTTTTCTTTTTCCCCAAAGCCCCAGTAGATAGTTGTATGTCATAGTTGCACATCCTTCTAGTTGCTGTATGTGGGACGCAGCCTCAGCATGGCTGGAGAAGTGATGTGTCGGTGCGCGCCCGGGATCCGAACCCGGGCCACCAGTAGCGGAGCGTGAGCACTTAACCGCTAAGCCAGGGTGCCGGCCCTGCTCTGTTCCCATTCTGCTGTTGAGCCCATCACTGCTGTTTCTTATTTCAGTTATTGTATTTTTCTGTTCTAAAATTTTTATTTGGTTCTTCTTCATACCTTCTATGTCTTTGTTGAGGTTTTCAATTTTTTCATCTGTTTCAAGCGTGTGCATAATTGCTCACTGAAGCATTTTAAATCTTTGTCAGATAATCTAACATCTGTGTCATCTCTGTGTCGACATGCATTGATTGTCTTTTTCCATTCAGTTTGAGATTTTCTGGTTCTTGGTACGATGAATGATTTTCTATTGAAACCTGGGCATTTTTGTATTGTTTGGAGATTCTGAATCTTATTTAAACCTTCTGTTATAGCTGGCTTTTTTTTTTTTTTTAAACACTGCTCTAACAGGGAAAAGGGGGAGAGCTGCCTGGGTACTGCCAGGTAGAGATAGAAGTCCAGGTTCTCCTCTTGGCCTTCATTGACCACTAAGGTGGGGTCAGTGGGCGAGGGTGAGAGTTTCAGTTTCTACTGACACCACAGTGTGGGAGGTTCTGTTACTACTCTACTATAGTGAAAGTATTGACTCTCTATTACACCTCTTCCGACACCACCTCAGTGGGGAAGGAGAGAACTGCCTCATTACGTCTGGGTTGGGGCAGAAGTCCAGGCTCCCCATGCGGTCTCCACTAACACTGTGGGAGGAGGGGGGTGCTCATTGTCAATTAGTGGGAATAAGATTCTCACTGTCCTTCTCTGACACCACCCTTAGTGGGGTGTTGGAGTACCTAGCTACAGCCTTGTGAGGGTGGAATTCTTGGGCCCCACTCAGACTTTGCTGCCATGGGTGGAAGTGGAGCCATGGTTTTATCTGTTGTGTTTGGCCAGAGTAGAGTGGTTATTGTCTGAAACTTTTCTGTCTTGTTAGGCTGTACCTTTCCTAGTCTTTTAGCTATGGAGAGCAGACTTTTGGTGGGCTTTTTTTTGTGTGTCTGGACCCAATGGCATTTCTGGCTTGCTATTCTTTAGCACCCAATTTGGGATTTATAAGGCAAAAAGAAAACCCAGGAAACTCACCACCATGCTGTTCCTTGGTTTCAGAAGTCCCTAACCAGTTTGTCTTCTTCTCTCTTCCTATCAGAATCTTCTTATGATTCTTTTATATATAATGCCTAGAGTTTTTAGTTGCAGTAAGTGGGAAGAATAGGAAAAAGTACATCTACTCCATATTCCCCACTATTATTTATTTTGTTGCTCAAATTGTCTCACTGGGAGCCCCCTCAAATTGGCTTCTGTATACTTTTGACACATTACCATCATTCTTTAAGCATCCTTACTCTGGATTAACAAAGTATTCCAGGCTCATCTTGTACTTTCCCTGTCCAATCCTGTAATCAGTCATTTCTCCAAGAAACTCGAGTTTCTTTTAGTGGAGAAAGGAAATTAGATATGGGTACTAGATGTGCTTATTATTGGGGTTGCTGCTCCCAGGCCAGGACTTCTCAGTGGACAGAGCACACAAACACACATATTTATATCTGTGATGGTTAATTTTATGCGTCAGCTTGGCTGGGCCACAGTGCCCAGATATTTGGTCAAACATTATTCTGGATGTTTCTATGAGAGTGTTTTTGTAAGATTTACATTTAAATCAGTGGACTTTGAGTAATGCAGATTGCCCTCCATAATGTAGGTGGGCCTCACCCTGTCAATTGAAGGTCTGACTAGAACAAAAGACTCACCTCCCTTAAGAAAGAGGGAATTCTCTGGACTTTGGACTTGAATAAAACATCAGCTCTTCCTGTGTCTCCACCTGATGGCCTTTGGATTTGAACTGCAATATCAGCTCTTCCCTGGGTTTCCAGTCCGATGGTTCACCCAGCAGATTTTGGATTTGCCACCCTCCATAGTTGCATGAGCTAATTCCTTAAAATGAACCTCTCTCTCTACATATACACATCCTATTGGTTCTGTTTCTCTAGAGAACCCTAACTAATACAATATCTATAATTTTTCTATGTCTATCTCTATATATTGAAAATCATGAGTTTACACTATTACTTAATTCCAATTGAGAGAAAACTCTAACTTTCTCTCTTTCCATATTTTAACTCCCTTCTTTGATAGAAACTTGGCTCCCACTATTCTTAATATATTTATTTATTTGCTCAATTCCCCTTATAACAACTTTTTGAGAGATGGTAGAATATGTTTTGTCAATTTCCCAACAGACAGAAGTAAGTGTCTTGAGGTTGGAGTCACTTCCCTTTCTAATTCTCATAAGGGGCTGTATAGACTTGGGGTGGTGCTGAGTCTGCCTCAAGGGAGATGTTCTGGGAGAGCAGATGGAAAGCTGCCAGGGCTGCCAGGGGCACAGCACATGTCATTGGGGTTTTAAAAGCTGAGTCATGGAAAGTGACAATAATGATTATAGCTTGCATTTGCATAACATTTTAAGGTACTTTCACATATGTATTTTACTTATTCCTAACTCTAACCCTGTCAGATGATCAGGACATTAATTATTAGCCTATTGTGGTAACCTCATTAATGGTCCTCTTAAAGATATCCAGGTCCTAATCCCCGGAGCCTGTGAATGTCACTTTATATGGCAAAAAGTACTTTGAAGATGTGATTAAACTAAGGATTTTAAGATGAGGAGATTATCTTGGATAATGGTGGACCCTAAATGTATATGCATCCTTATAAGAGAAAAGCAGACTTTTCTTTATAAAAAAAAAAAAAGAGATTTTTTTTTAAAGGTATTTATCTTCTTTATTTTTTTATTTTTTTTATTTTTTATTTTTCCCCAAAGCCCCAGTAGATAGTTGTATGTCATAGTTGCACATCCTTCTAGTTGCTGTATGTGGGACGCAGCCTCAGCATGGCTGGAGAAGCGGTGCGTTGGTGTGCGCCTGGGATCCGAACGCAGGCTGCCAGTAGTGGAACGCGCGCACTTAACCACTAAGCCACGGGGCCCCAGACAGAGATTTGACGCAGATAGAAGAGAAGGAGGCAGAGATTGGAATGAAGCAGCCCAGGCGAAGAATCTCCAGTAGCAACTAGAAGCTGGAAACGGCAAGGAACAGATTTTCCTCTAAAGCTTCCAGATGGAGCATGGCCTTGCTAACACCTTGAATTTGGCCCAGTGCTAACGATTTTGGACTTGTGGACTCCAGAACTGAAAGAGAGAATAAATTTCTGTTGTTTTAAAGCCACCAAGTTTGTGACAATTTGTTACAGCAGCTATTGGAAATGAATACACTCATTATTACAAACGTGGAACCTGAAACTCAGATAGTACAAGCGACTTGCTTAAGACCATACAGCTGGCAGGTGGCGGAGCTGGAATTCAAATCTAGGTCTATTGACTTTAAATCCAATGCTCATCCATAGTGGCTGCCTCCTCCGCTACTGAGCCCCTCCCCTGCAGAGAAGACAGAGAAGACAGAAGCAGCAAGAGCAAGACGGGGGTGGTTGTCATCCTTAGGTGCTTATTAGAAACACTTGGGGGACTTTTACAAAATACCTTTCTAGGTCCCATCCCAGACAATTGAATTAGACTCTTCAGGGGTGGGGCCCAAGCAAAGATATTTTTAAAAGCTCTCTAGGTGATTCTAGAGTGCAGCCAAGGTTGAGAACCAGTGGTGTAGTGATACCAAGTTCATTCCATGTATACATGTGTACGAGAAATATGACTATTTTTCTACATCTGAATTTGAATTCTCTTATTAACTGTTATTACATCAAATGCCAGAAACTTAACCTCTGTTAAATCAGGATCTATCTCTCTCCCTCCTCCTTAGATCTAGGAGAAATATGCAGTGACAGATTAGCAGGGAACACCTATTCCTTGGTGTTGTCATCTAACTAAGCTGGCATCTGTTGATACGGCCCTCTTCCCATATGCTCTGAGTCATTGCTCCTTACAAGTCTATCCTTCCTTGTTCCCACCTGCTGGCTCCGTGCTTGTCTACATAACTCTCAAGCCTTCTGGAAATCCTTGCAGGCTTCCACAGCTCTGCTGGCGTGGGTACTAATGCTGGGAATATGATTCTGCTCCCTCTGCAGGGGTGCACCAGCCTGCCAGAGGTTTCCACTCCTGTGCTACCCCTGTGCTCAAGGGATTTTGGATCTCCCTCCAATGCTCCTCGTTTTAGATTCCCAACTCTTTTTGGAGGTGGAATTGTGCTTCACCCTGGACACAATGGCCTTGGAGAGTACACAGCACAGGGACCCTCCTCAAGAAACCACCAGACAGTGTCTGCTTCCCTTCCATTCTCCTCTTTCCATCTTCTCTAGGGACAAAGTAATTCTAATTCTATCTCTGAGGCATAAACTTTCCTTGAGTCCTTCTGGACTTAGGCTTTTGAAACTCAAAATTCAGTCTCTTGCATTTGGAAGCCCTTGTATTTGGAACTCAAAACCTGTCCTCTGCTGGTCTGCACCATCATTCTTTCCTTTAAGTGATGAATACTAGTAACTAAATGGAGTGAAAGGTAAAGGGTTTGAGAAAATGATAAGAAGATATGAGTCTCAATTTATTATCCTAAATTCTCATCCTGCCACCCAGAATTGGGTTCAAATATTGTGCTGGAGCAACCAAGTAAAAGCAGTGACGCTGGGCAAGTTACTTATTGTTTCTGAGCCTCAGTTTTCTCTTCTATAAAATGAGGTATTATTGTGAGGATTAATAAGAAAATGTATGAGTTTCTCTTTCTCTGTTGCCACTGCCATTCTGTGGTGGTTTAGATGAGTGTTTCTCTTTCTACCATTTCTGAGACTTCAAGAAAACTAAGAGAAATCTTGTGTAAACATTTAGCTGTCCCATGTTGTCTTACTGATCTTCCTTCACTCCTAAACTTTAGTTCAAGAGACTATGGATCTTCTTTGATTTATGATGGGGTAACGTCCTGATAAACCCATTGTAAGTTGAAAATACTGTAAGTTGAAAATGTATTTAAAACACCTAGCCTACCTAACATCATAGCTTAGCCTAGCCTACCTTAAACGTGCTCAGAACACTTACATTAGCTTACAGTTGGGCAAAATCATCTAACACAAAGCTTATTTTATAATAAAGTGTTGAATATTTCATGTAATTTATTGAATACTGTACTGAAAGTGAAAAACTGAATGGTTGTATGGATACACAATGGTTGTAAGTGTATCCGGTTGTTCACCCTCATGATCACATGGCTGACTGGGAGCTGTGGCTCACTGCCTCTGCCCAGCATCACGAAAGAGTATCATACTACATATTGCCCAGGAAAAGATCAAAATCCAAAATTGAAGTATGGTTTCTACTGAATGCGTATCACTTTCACACCATGGTAAAGTTGAAAAATTCTAAGTCTAACTATCGTAAGTCGGGGATATCTGTTAACTGTTTCTTTCTCTCGCAGAGGTTGGATGGGTAAAATGGAGTAAGATGAAAACCAGAGAATTCTGAAAATATCTCATGACAAAATAAAGGATAGGAAAAAAAAAGAAAATGTATGTAAGAATCTGACACTAAAACAAAGTGCTTAGTAAATGGTATTCATCTCAGCCCTCAGCGGAAGTTCCGGGTAAGCAGACATATTGAAAGTTGTTTCTATAGCACTTTGTAATTCTATTAATTCTATAGTTAACAATTGGACAGTTTAGCTAAGGCTTTGCGTGGGGCATCAAAATGTGGACAGTGTAAAAACTTTAATGATTTTAACAGATTGTAAAAAAATTAAAGTGTTCTGCCCCTCAGGAAATTTCTTTCCCCTTTTTTCCTGCATACAACCCTACCTTTAATCTCCTAGTAGAAGGCAGGGATGGACAAAGTGGGAGACTAACGGTCAAGGACAGGAATGCAATTGTACTTGAGGAACAATTCTTTCTTTCCCTTCTTCCTCAAGTACCCTCCCTCCTACCCCCAGTCCCCAAACCTCAGCACCTATTCTATTTACCATATTCTGTGGTCCTTTACTGCCCACTGCTAGTTTCTAAGATCCTTGTAGCAAAGGATTGCAAAAGTTTTCTTGTGAAAAAAGTAGTTTCTTGGTAAAGCAATTTCATTTTTATTTTTTTATTTTATTTATTTTTTTTGGTGAGGAAGATTAGCCCTGAGCTAACATCTGTTGCCAATCCTCCTCTTTTTGCTGAGGAAGATTGGCCCTGGGCTAACATCCATGCCCATCTTCCTCTACTTTATATGTAGGATGCCTGCCACAGCATGGCTTGACAAGCTGTGCATAGGTCCGTGCCTGGGATCTGAACCTGTGAACCCTGGGCTGCGGAAGCAGAGCGCACAAACTTAACCACTACACCATTGGGCCGGCCCAATTTCATTTTTAAAGGCTGATTGTGTAATGATGAAACACTTAAGCAGGTAGGAGGCCCATCTTCATTTTACCTCACTCAGTTCTTTAATGTGGTATCAGGAGGTACAGAGCTCTGAACACAATCAAGAAGCGCCGTGGGAGGAGTGTACCTTCCCCCTTGCTTAGGCTTCCATAGAAGCTGGGCCCCACAGACCTGCATGTTCTCTTGCTCACTCCGTGCTCTTATTCCACATTTCTGCTGCTGCTGTGCCTGCTTTTCAGCCAGGATTGCAGAGGACATAGCAGTGGAGTTGTTTCCTTTAATGGATCACCTGTGACCCGGACTTGGCGTGTGAAGCAAAGTTAACCCAGTTAGGCTCCTAGCAGGGTTATAGCCTTACATCTTATTTTAGCACATTGACTTATTCTGGGTTTACCCATGTGCCCTTTAAATAACTGGCCTTGGACTCAGATGGTTGGTTGCATGTGGCAGCTCAACTACTGTGTTTACTATCAGTTAAAAAGAGCTGGCTTGAAGATAAGTACACCGTATTCATATCTGATAGGTCTCAGCGCAGCTTTTTGGACAGAGTCTCCAGATTTTATGATTGGCTATGATGGGCAGTAGAAGGGTGGAGCACAAGACATCTGAACTACCAATGTCTGTTTCCCCCTCCCTTTTTCTAACTGCACAGAACATCTTAGTGATGAAAGGAGCCTTGAGGTCAGTCCCCCATGAGTGCCAATGGAAAGAAAAAGTCCTTAAGTCCTGCCTTTAAGAACTCAAGAGATTTTGGGGGCTGCAAAAAGCCCCTTTCCATTCCCTAAGTCGATAGACTGCTTTTTTTAGATTCACTTTTTCTTTATATGGTGCTAGTTGGTGGATCTGGTCATTGGGCATCAGAAGTAGGTGCCAGAGCCTGGCTAAGCCTTGTCAGCAATGTCCACCTATTCCTACGTTAAGATCTTGCCCACTGAAATTACTTGGACATGTTTTCAAGCTTAATGTCCAGAGCAGAATAGGTAACCAGTCATTTGTCGAGTGGTCAGTTCCTTGATGGGGCACGTATCATCTCAGGGTTTTCATGCACAATGCATGCATCTGATTCATCTACAGAACTCTAAGAAATACAGTTGTCCTGACTCCATTCCTCTGATGAGGTCTGGCGAAGGTATTTTTTTTTTAAAAAAACTTCTCAGGTGATTCTGGTGTGCCGTCTGGATTGGTAACTAGTGGCTGGCCATCTTCTCTTTGAGCGCCGGAATCGCTCTGTTTTATTCTCTGCTGTATCCCAAAGGCTCAATGCAGTGTTTGGCACAAAGCAGACATTCAGTACGTAGTTTTTGAATGAACCCCATTTTACAGATCAGGCAACTGAGGTTCAGAGAAGTTAAGATCACATAGGTGCCGGTGCTGGTCGTCTTTCCACTATATTTCCCCAGGTCATGTTTAGGTTGCTTTCTGGCCCTAAGTCGGATATTGAGGCTGCGGTGTCCAGTTCCAAAGCTCAGTTTGCTCTACGCCCAACAGGCCCAGCTTCTTAGTCAGGCAATTTCTGCCTTGTCCGGTGCCGGGAGTCCGGCCACAGCAGAGTTAAACGAAGGCCCCGCCCCAGTGGGTGGGGCCAGGAGCGTGAGGGCGCCAGGAGCAGCAGCTTCCCCGACCGGCTAGCGCTTCTGCGCCTGCGCACGGCGCCCAGGGGACGGGGTCGGACTCAGAAATGGCGGCCTCCATGTTTTACAGCCGGCTGTTGGCCGCCGCCACCCTTAGGAGCCACCAGCCCCGGACGGCGCTGCGGGCCGCCGCCCAGGTATTGCGGCCCCGCCTGCCCTCGCTTCGAGGGTCGGCAGGAGAAAGGGCGAGCTGGGAGACCTGGTTCCTGTGGGCGAGGTGTGAGGGGACCCGAGGCCCGGCTCGGGGTCACTTGGAGTCGGTGACATTGGGTGACATGGGGTGCCCCGCCGGGCCCGCGGGCGGCTTGCCCAGGAGTGCTGTCTGCCAGGACTGTGAGCGGGCCCATCTTCGCGCCGCTCTGCTCCGGCTCTCAGTCCGCGAGAAGCTCCGGCGCCCCGGGTGCGGCTGCTCACCGGGTTTCCGAGGGGGCGGCGGGGAGCCGGAGTGAGCTCAGTGGAGGAGAGGGGCCCTGGGCAGTTTCTGCTGCCATGTCCTCGTCCGCCGCGGCCTCGGCCCGTCTTTGAGGAGGGGGAAAATGCCCTTCAGCTGTAGTTTTGTGTGCCTTAGGAGCTGTCATGGGTGGGACTGACTTCACAGGACCAGCAGTGCTTGCTTACCGGCCTTTTCTGGGACGAGGCAGGGAAGTTTCCCACCTCCCCGAAGCCTTTGTGTACTGTTCTGTTTGTTAATTGTCTTAATAAGATGCTACTTACTAGCTTACCAATTGAGGAAGTAAGAAAATCATCTCCTGGGTCACTTCATTTCTGGATAGCGTAATAACCACCGTTTTTATTTGTATGTTGTTTGAGTGTTTACTGTGTGCCAGGTACTGTGCTAAGCGTTTTACGTGTAGCCTTTTATTAGGCTTTTCAGCAACACTGTAAAGGAGTCTGTAAGCCGCATCACTGGTGAAGAAGATGTGGCTAAGAGAACAAGTAGTTTGGGCTAGGTCAGGAAGCAGGTAAGGTCACAGCTGAGGTTTAAGTCCAGAACTGTCTGGCTCCAGAGCCTGTGTGGTTGAATCTGCTCTACAGTTTTTTCCAGAACATAAGAATTGGCCTATTCTTTCCAACGATGACACCAAGAAACTTTTGGAATGGCGTGATTGGCTTCGTAAATCAATTCCAGAGTTTTAGATTATGTTCTTAAGTAACCTCAGGTATGCCATAAATGAATTGATTTAAATCTTGCTTTATCTTTTTAAAGATATTCATGCTTTCAATCTAGAGGTAGTGAATTCTGTGAGTTTGCTTTCTATAGGAGCAAATTGTCATGTCGTGAAAGTTTGTTTTTATTTTTTTCTCTTTTTCTCTCTTCTTTTTCCCCTCTTTTTATTATATTTTTTAAATTGGTTTTTTTTTTTTTTTTGGTTTTGTATGAGAGAGGTTAAAGAGGTTTAGTTTACAAGCCTTGAACAACTTCTTTATGGGTCTTAAAGGGTGCTGTCTAGTTTTTAGAAAATGAGAATTTGGTGAACAGATATGTTTTCATCCTAATCATAACTTTATCCTTTTGGAAATTCCTTTAAAAGTCTCTGTCTCAGGGGCTGGCCTGGTGGCACAAGCGGTTAAGTGTGCGCGCTCCGCTGCGGTGGCCCGGGGTTCACTGGTGTGGATCCCGGGTGCACACCGTCGCACCACTTGGCAAGTCATGCTGTGGCGGCGTCCCATATAAAGTGGAGGAAGATAGGCACGGATGTTAGCCCAGGGCCAGTCTTCCTCAGCAAAAAAAAGAGGAGGATTGGCAGATGTTAGCACAGGGCTGATCTTCCTCACAAAAAATAAAAAAATAAAAGTATTTTCTTAAACATCTTCTGTTTTCTCTTCCACCCTCAGGTGGAAGACCTAGGTGGAAGACCTCAGTCTAACCCCTTGGAAGGACCTCAGTCTAATGCCTTGCTTTTGTAGATGGGGACACAGAGTTGCAGGGTCTTCAGAATCTTGTTTGAGGTCACATATTGAGTTTAGCAAATTTTCTTAAACGTTTTGTTCAGTTCTCTGACCCTCGTCTAGTTTCTCTGTATCTTTTGTCCAGTGTATATTTGATAAAAATAGTTTAGGTTAGGAGCAGATTTATACATTTATCACCACAATCAATCTAATCACCATCTGTGACCATGCAAAGTTATTACAATATTATTGACTGTATTCCCTATGCTGTATATTACATTCTCATGACTTATTTTATAACTGGAAGTTTGTGCTCTTAACCCCCTTCACCTAATTTGCCCAACCTCCACCCCTCCTCCCCTCTGGTAGCAACCAGTTTATTCTCTGTATCTATGAGTCTGTTTCTGGTTTGTTTTGTTTGTTCGTTTTGCTTTTTTTAGATTCCACATATAAGTGAAATCATACGATATTTGTCTTTCTCTGACTGACTTATTTCACTTAGCATAATACCCTCTAGGTCCAT